ATGAATTATAAAATATTACAAATTCTGATGTGGGTCGATGGTTAGGGATGGTTAGGGGATGGTTAGGGATGGTTAGTTATTTATAACTCAATGGCCAGCTTCAGGTTGTCAACCAGCCTCCATAGCTTTGCCAGCGGCTCCTTAGTGTAGGATCTTGCTTGCGGTTTTTCTTCTCCTACCTATACCTACATAGAATATGTTCTGCGGACTCCTCGTCTTCCTGGCAGTATCTGTCTGTACATCCGGTGCATGTGCTTTCTTAAGCAGCAGTGCCCTATCAGGAGTCCTACCAGAATCCTGGTCCGGTTGCCTTCCAGTAATTCTTTTGTAAGTTTTGTGGATGGACTTGTATGAATCTCTTCGTGCCTTATAACTGTGGTATTGTTCCACAGGTTTTGGACTCATTAAGGAATCAATTTTAAGATGTATCCTTTTTTGTGCCAGGATGCTAAGCCACAGTAGGTTCAAGACCCAGCGAGTCCATGTTGGCCCCCGTTTTGCCAACATGACAACCTTTTCGTTGCTTCTATGCTGCCCAGGGACCCAGGCCAGGGTCAGGTCATTACTGTCACTGACTTCCATCAGGGCATCCATGCAGTTCCAAACACTCTTTGCCTTCACCTCGCATGTGTTCCTAGCCTTTTTATTTCTCTGGCGCAATGTTCAATCGCTATGATTTCAAATTGGAAAACTGTAGCATACTAGCCTAGGTTTACCGTCAGTTCGGTCTTTAGGTTCGTCCCGAAGACTCCAGCTCTCCTCAATTTGTTAACTGACATTAAGTCTGGTAATGAGATACATTCCAAGGTATTTAACATTTTTAGCATTTTGGCGAGTTATTTATTACGACATTATTGACAAAGTTTGGTCTGCGTCTAATAAACAGTAGTGCCTCAGTCTTGCTACTATTAGGTCTGATTCTTTATTTATCAAAATATTTAAAATACCAGTACAGTATTGATAATTCTTTGCAAATGAGAATCGACCCTATAAGAGGCTCTTTAAAAAATTTATAAATAAAAACAGTAAAATTTTAATACGATTTTATCATCATTATTATTAGTGGTTGTATAATTAGGCTGAACTATTTCAAACTTGGCTCATTTTCATTCCATCTCCTTTTGTTTAACTGCAGTGTTTGTTTAAAGTGCATAAAAGCTTGAGGCAGTACTTTATCGACTGTTTTTTGACCCGTTCATGTACGAAAAATTTTGACTACCGATTGCCATTTTACGTTTCATCCTCTTCCCAGGAAAAAACCTATGATCGAATAATACGCCTTCTTTCTGTTTAGCGTACGTGAAGGAAATCACGTTCAACTTGATTTTTTAACGAGAGGATTGTTTATTGGCAAAGCGCGGCGGGAAGAATAAAGACCCGGTCTTGACATTTGCATTCCGACCATGCGGTACGATCAAATCTCTCCTGAATGCTTCACAAGAGGCGATGATCGCCTATATCACTTTAAAATAATTGTCATCGGAGTAATTCCATGTTTGGGAACTTTTTCTGCGTGTCCTGCGGGGTGATGAACTTATAATTTGGTCGTTACCAATCATCACACTGAAGATGGCTAAATGCCAAAACGCGTCTGACGTCTACAGAACGAGGATAGGTATACTAGCATAAACGATATGGATCGAATTACAAATTGCTTAAGTCTATTTTACCCGATGAGAAAACTGCGGTCAATGAAGGCTAGCAGGCCACATATAAAGCCCCACTGTTCGATAATTCGTCCGAGAAATTAAGGACTGTGTACAGGCGAGTTCCAACAGCTTAAATTAACTATATTACCTGTTCCGTGACTCTACATCGGCCTAGCCTTGTAATCCGCGTAAAACCTCGGCAATTATCTAGAATCAAACAGTAATTATAGTCTGTATAGTAAACAGCGGAGTAAACTAGAAAATGGGGACAGACTTCATGATCCCGGAAACACTCTTTATAACATTCTACAGTCCCGACAAACTACAAATGAGAAGAATAATTCAAGAGGAAATCAGATATGATGATATGGTATAAAAATGGCCCCAAACAAAATAAAGGAATTGGATCAGGCACTTCCTGTACTAGCTCATACTATGAGCAATCACACTTTATGGGAGTACTCCTTGGTATAGGCTAATTGCTAATTACATCAGAGATATTTAACTTTTAGTAAACGATTACCAAACGCAATTGTTAATTTTATTTATTAAGTCTAAATGTCAATAAGACCCCCTTAATAAATATAATTTTATAGTTTAAAGTTTTCAACTAGCAATAATCGCATCTCAATAGAACTTAGATATTGTCACTGTGCAAAATTTATATATTGTATGTCTATAATAATATGTACTACAATAACAATAATGAAAGGAAATATGTTTTATACAATTATCATTTTTATGCCTACAGAACTGGCTGTAAAGGCACTTACAGCATATAGCACATTACCTTCGACAAATTCAGACCTCCTAATATATGTAATATGTAATATACAAAAAAATATAATAGTACAAAATATTTAATATATTTATAATGACCACAAAAGATCTTTTAGGCAAATCTTGGGAGCTGAAATTGGAAATGTTAATGTCCTATTGACTATATACGTCAGTTGTAAGACCCGAATTAGCTCTGGTTTGTTAATCTGGTGGACCAAAGCTGAGCAAAAAGAAGCTACTCAAACATTAGGCAGCATACAGACTGGGAAACCTATGTAACACAGGGGCAGTGAAAACAACTCAATGCACTAGAAACACTGTTAAACCTACCTCCATCGGAAATTTTATGCAAGGAGAAACCATTAATCCAGCCAACTTGGATGTATACTTGAAAGCTCTGAAGTGCATCTGACACATTTCTGAACAAGATTCAGGTAACTGAGAATCCGGTACTGCCTGTGTAACCTTATGTGATGATCTTTATGACCCAGAAGGGTAACCATACCAACCTCATCACTACCTGAATAACCACATTCTACTCCTCCACATCGCCAATTTAAAAAATTGCCGCAGGTCTCAATAATTAAAAATCTTAATAATTAAGATGTGTAATTTTTTAATCATTATTTAAATTTTATCATTAACTGAAAATACATAATTCTATTCGATTGGATAAAATATCAAGGCTGACAATGTTCTTAACGTAGGCCCAAGTTTCAAGCCCAATATGGTACACAGGCGGTTCAAAAATGGAACAGGCAGGTGTAGGGGTAAAAAGGTCAAACTATATCCCAGCCTTTTCCTGTCCCAATAATTTTTCATGCTAAGGCCCATAACTCGTGCACAGGAGTTGAAGAAAAGAGAAAGGTTAAACTTACATACTCTGTCAGGCAGGTGAAAAACGCACTAAATGCATATGCTTTCAACTCACTCGTCTAGAACTGCCTAAATTGCCTATCACTGGGGAATACCCAAGATATCTTTAAAGCAGGTTCTGACTTCTGGTACATGAAGGTACAGTAGGAAACGAACAGGCTGACCAACAAGCCCAAAAAGGGGCAGCCCCCTCACCCGTAGGACCAAAACCACAAATAAGTGGTGTGTGCTTAAATTGGAACTGAAAAAATGGATTAAAAAATCAAAGTTCAAGCATTGGACAAAAGCAGGTTTGAGGCAAGCTGAGATTTAATTCCCATAAAAATGAAGGTAAAGGCAGGATCTCTTTCAGTAAGCAGGTATGGTATGGTATGGTATGGTGGAAAGGATACTGGGAAGCGGGGCTCATATTCCCCAGCCACTGCAGCCTTCTGGCTTATTATACCTTCCCAGTTCCCTAGTTTAGTCAATAGACTCAATCCTTCTTCTCAGAAGTATCAGGTCATTGACTGTTATTACTGCAATTTGGTTCCCTGAGTCTTTTTCGTACGTTAGGGTAAACCTCCATTGAGCTGTTGCTTTGCATTCGAAGATGATATGAGGGGCTGTTTCCTCCTCCTCATTACATAATCTGCAAATGGGATCATCATTGTATATACCCATGTTGTGTAGATTTTTCTCAGATACCAGTGACCGGTTAGTAGTCCCACCACTCCTCAGAGTTTTGCCCTCTCTAATTGTAGCAGTGTTTTTGCCAATTTTAGTGAGGGAACGTTTCATCATAAGTTTACTGTGTCTAGCACCGCTAGAGTTTATCCATTTCTCTCTTTGTTTTGTTTGGATCCATTCTGCGATGGAGGATTCTGTTTGTTTTTGTTATCCCAAGGATAGGTTCGGGGCCCATGTATGGTCTTGCAGATCCTCCTCTGGCCAGTTTGTCTGCTTCTTCATTACCCAGAATTCCCCTGTGCCCTGGCACCCAAGATATCATCAGGTTGTTGTTTTCCCAGGTTTTGGATACATTCACCGACTTCAGTAAGCAGGAGTAGGGGAAAATTATAGTTCTTCATAACCGCTGCTCTCTTAACCACTACTTAAAGATGGGCAAAACAGAGACAGAAATATGCCAACTATGTCAGGAGGAACCTGGCGTATCCTTTGGGAATGTGAAGCATTAGTTCGGTTACATTTCAGCCACATCGGTAAGGCAATTCTCACACCAAAAGAACTGTGTGTAGAGGCAATATGGAAAGTTCTTAGGCTTATAGGAAAAAGTGTACTTTCCAAAGTATGTTTATAACTTATAGGAGTCGACATACAGGTTACAGAAAAGGACTTTAAATTCTTTGCTTAAGTCGTGTAAACTTGCATTTGCTATTAGGGCATAAAAATAATCCTTATGTTACAAATAGATTAAGGAAAATAAAAACAAAGATTTTGACCAAACCATCAATTTAAAACCAAAATTATACATATTTTGCACTTTTCTGGTTCTTTTGTTTGGGTATTCAGATTAGGGTTGTAAGGTGAATAGTATCATCATAAATGATTCTTTTTTTTAAAACCCATTCTACAGAATTAAAAAAAAAAAAAAAAAATAGACATCTTTTAATAAAATACAAAGCTTTGTTTATAAACTTTTTTAATAAACAGATTCTGTTACTTTACAATTACATAAAATAAATTCAAAGATAGTAACATTTACATTTTTTTTAATCATCTGATTTTTTCTTGCGCGTTCTTAGTTTGCCTCCATCATCGTAACATTCAGCCGCCTCTTTCATTTTCTTGATGTTTTTTCCCAACATTTTCACCTCCTTTCTGGCTTTGCGTAATGCTTCCCAGGCAGAGAACTTGTTCTCCTCTTCTGTGACCTGGCGCGCTTTTGTGTTTACATTTGTCTGCTTTATTGGAAGCAACTTCCCTGTGTACTGTTTGGCGAGTGAACGCTCTTCCTTGGTTGACTCTTGTCCCTTGCGTAATTTGTCCCTGCTGCTCTTAGGGAAAAGGATCAACCTTGATTTGTACTCCTTAAGCCGCTGGACATTGAGAAGGATCCCTTCGACGGACTTGTTACGTCTCCTTGGGTCAACCGTAATACCGATTGTTCTTGCGTACGCAGGGCACAAGCCTGCTCTTCTTACTTCCTCAAGAGTAAAGCCTCTTCCTTCTCTAAGTTTCATGTGATACCTATAAATTTAAAAAAATATATATAATATGAATTTTTTTGTGTGTACATCATCAATATCAACACATGCATTAAAATTGTTCAAGATTATTAGCTTAGATAAATATATTAAATTAACTTGATAAGGTATAATCGACAAATTTAACAAATTTCCAATATCATTTCTTCTTTTCATATTGATGTGCCTAACATGAATAATGAAGAGGCAACCTCCGAGTACCCAGCAAGTGAACCAGTTACAGTTCTACAGAAATCAGATAATTCAACAGAGGTAAAATTTTATTTCACAGAAATAGCTATCGACCATCTATTGATAAATTTTTGTTTCTTGTGTTGACTGTCCTATCATGGAGGCAGTAATTTCAATAAATAAATATTTACTTTATTATCATCCAAATCAAGGTCTCTTTATCACACGATATTTTACACTTTGTTCAATGCAACTACATAGTAGATACAATCTAATGCTCTCTTTGATGAGAGCATACCAGTGGTACAAGGGAGGCATGTCAAGCACAGTGCGGTAATATTTGGCGCAACCTTTAGAAGAGGGCACTCCCCTCTCATCGCATACTACACATTCACGCCAATAAATACATTCACTCTCACACATGCTAGAGACATAAAAATCATTACTATATACAATAAAACAACAACCTCCAAAAATCGGAACAGGGGATCCAATACGGGCTGCCATGCCAAGCACAATTTTCATATTGGATGGCATTCTATGTTCTCCCTATATGGAGCCAAGAAATTGCAACCTTCAAATAGGTGAGACACATCGACCAACCTTTCTCTGCATGCCGGACACATACGTAGGCTTCAGCCCAAAAGTAAGTGTACTTGTGCCAACTGGCCTATTCTCAATTGGGTTAAGATAACCCTTCTACAAGTCCAGTCCTCCGAGGGCCACCTATTGACATGTTTTTTTAAATGCATTTTCAGCATCTGGGGGACAGATTGGAGCTAAGTCCGGAGGTTGGGACGTACTGGTCTTAGCCGCCTCGTCCTCATTTTCTCATGTTTCCTAAACTTTTAATCAAAAGTTAATTAATAACTACAATCAATCTTGAAATAATTTACAATTTGTTAGTTTTAAAATATATTGCCAAAAGAATGTGGTTTTACCTGACAGTTGGACATCTTACTGCAGGGCGAAGCTTTTTAGTCGGACGAGGTGCTAGCCTGGCATGCTTCTTGATCCTCTTAAGACGTTGTCGCTGCTTTCGTCCCGGCTGGTTGAAACGAATCCTCACGTAGTCTTGCCATTTCTTATGAAAATGGGCGTTCGGTATCATGTTGTTGCTCTTCGGTGCCATTTTGACTTTATTCTCTGGAAAAAGTGCTGTCCCGGAAGAAATGAGTCGGAGCTTTCAAGTTTCACAATTCAAAACCTGTAACGGCTAATTTTCGAGCTAAGCCACGTGGTCCAGCAGGAAGTCGTACGGCCATTTTGATAAAAACATTGCCAGTATTGACAGCCTATATATCAAATAAGAAAAATAAAACAGTATATTTATACTTTTTTTAAATAATTGTATTCCGCACGACTTTTAAACGAAAATAAGTTTACACTAAAATGCTGAACTGTACTCGTTTCGACATTTTGACCCATTGTTTCTAAGCTTGTGATCATAAGGAGGTATCTTTTTCTTTAATTGTTAGGAGATTCAGCAAACTCTGACTATTCATTTGTTTCCAACTTACAGCTATTTTTTTTATATACAGTTAGTATAAATTATATTGAAATATGGAAGCACTATTTATTTGTAGATACGGATCAAAGACCCTTTTCCAAAGAATGTAAATCACGAGGTTATGAAACAATTTAAGTAGCGGATGAACAACAATAAAATAACAAAAACCACAGCAACAAAAAATAATAATAACAGTAGGGGCGTTGGTGGCCGCGATGGTAAAGGCTTTGGCACGGCTCTCATCATTATAAGTCCCGGGTTCGAATCCAGTGGCCCTGCATTCGAACCCGACATACATGCTTACAATTTTTTTCAAAAACCCGAGGGTTCATAAACCTCGTCCTTGAAATACCCTAGTAAAAACAAAACATAAACCAATAAGCTATATTTGTATAAAAATTATATTTATTTGAAGACAATCTATAAAATGATTGCCTTTAAGTTATCATTAAATGTATTAAAATTTTGTTGAAAAAATCACTACACACACACACACACACACAGATCCTTTGAAGGTCTAGTATGCTTACTAGTATTTGTCCTTAGCATAAGTAGATTTATAATCTTATAAACGCTAAAAACCGGACATATTTTGTTTTTTATTTCAAACTATATGTATTTTTATCGTTGTATTAATTATAACATAGCTATTTTAATGTAAACCAAATTAAACCAGATCATACATTGTTTTAATAAAAATTATTTAATTGTGGGTGATGGTTTAAAAAAAAATTCATCCAAACACCTGAAAATCATTTAGTAATAGATTACAATTTAATTAACAATTGTTTAACCTAGTTTTGCTCTTTGCGTTATTATGAGCAAAACCATGTAATAAATTGTTAGTTAAATTTAGTTTAACGATAACATATATATACATAATTTGAAATAAATAACAAAATACGAGTTAGTTCTTCTTGATTTTATATGTTTTATTTTTTATTCACTTTGTAAAAATTCAGTACGTTAATATTACACAACAATAAAAGCCCTCGACTTATGCCAGTATTTTTTTTTTATATCTGTAAATTAAACAAAAAATAGTTTGTTAGTATAATATTTCTTTTGTTTAATTATTTTTTCAGTTAAATATGTTTTCTTTTCTATTTGACAAAATATAAGAAAATTTCAAGGCTTTAAACTGTGCCAAAATAGAATTTGAAAGTGTTAGCCACCATACTTGGTAACGCAACTTGTTTGTGTCCTCATGGGCTATAAGCACAGAGATAACAATTGTATAACCTTCCTTTATCCTTATCAGGTCTTTCTTAGTCGTTACTCGTTTTAGCTGTGTACGACTTGTAATAATGCTCCGTTTAAAGGGGAAAGCCGAGCTTTTTAAATTCTGCCTCAATTCCCTAAACAAGGGACATCGTTCGGCTTTTCACAGGATAGCCGACATCAAAGAAGAATGCAAGCAGATATCCATAAAAGTAGGTTCTTAACAAAAAAGCCCCCAAGAAAACCACGTGACTATGTTTAGAATTTATCGAATTCCTGTCAATTTTGGTTATTGGGGACAATTGGACTCTTTTATACACACTCAAAGACAAAAACAATGCAGATACTTGTATTTATTTGTTTATTTTCCATAATAACTAGGTATAAAGATTAACAGCTGGCCTAAAACGTAAGCACAGCATTAATAAATTGTTTTTTACCTTTATAGTGCTACTAATAATTTATACTCTTTAGATTAAAAATAAAGAAAACGGTTGCAAAGCCAACATGTTATTGTGTTGAAACAATATATTTGAGTAAAACAATTTTTAATTAAGCATGGTTTTAAATTGAGAACATTTTGGGCCAACATCAGAAGTAGAATCAGTTGCATAGCTCAAGTCCTAGATGTGCCGTGCTCTATCATCCACAGGATTACAGCGATTAGCGGCACTAGAAGTATTGATCCATTGTACCACTTGTATGATGGCTAGCGATGATAGTTTTATTGCTCATCACAGAACTGTCATTTAAGGCTTCCTTGATAGGTGGTCAACTCTAAATGGTCCATAATGTAAGGGTGAATTCTTAAAGAGTCAACAGAAGGCTTCATGAGAACAGCACAATCTCTAGTGCCAGGTTCTCTACTACCTGAGAGACTTCGAATAGAAAGGCGACTATTCGCAAATCAGCACATTGTCTGGACACTTCAACAATTGGGGAATCTGTTCACAGATGAATGCTGGTTTGGTTTGTGGCAAGCAAGTGTGGAGAATGCGTGGAAAAAGCTTTGCTTCATGTGCCATGCAAGAGCCACATTCTTGCCAAAGACAGTCCGTTGGTATGTTATAAGGTGGACTCGTGTAAATATGATGCCCATGCCAAACATTATACAGAATGGATCTTTGTACTAAGGTATAATGAGGAAGTTCTGTGATTCCATTCGCTGCATTTATTGGGGACAACTTCGTGTTAGTGTCGCATGTAACTAGAGTTGTCATCCATGTGGAATTACTACAATGAATTGACCAGTACATTGTCTTGGCATGAATCCCACACAACACTTATGGGGCATGATAAATAGATGGATTAGACATTGTTTGGTGCCTCCAGCAAGCGTTGAACCACTTCAAATCGTTCTTGTAGAAGAATGGAATTCTGTATCACAAGACGACATCTAATCACTTATTTACTCGATGCCTAGGAGACTGTGAGGTCAGAGGAGGTAATACACCTTACTAAGAGCAAAATTAGGTAATAAATTGTTAGGTTAATTTTCTTTTAACCCTTTATAATTAAATACTTTTTATTTAAACTCATAAATTTCTTTTAATTTGGTTTACATTAAAATAAGTATGTTATAATTAATATAACCATAGAAAGTTGTATAGTTTGAAATAAAGAACAAAATATGAGTGTCTGGTTTTTGTCTTTGATTGAGTAATTTTAAATATATTAATGTTGTTAATGTACATGAGTACACAGTTTTGAGATTTTTCCATGTGATCTTCAGGGTGGTGAACTTGTAATTTGGTCGTTATCAGTCAGTTTGGTCTGTGTGTCCTCGCTGGGTTGATTTGCAACACATTTTGGCCTTTGGCCATGTTCAGCGGTGGTTGATGATTTGATTAATTGATGCCTCACCCTGCTTAATTCCTTGACCCACCACTATGAAGCTGAATGGTCGATAAGGATAAGCAGGCCGTATAATCCTGTCACTCCTCAAGAGTTTAGCCCTCTCTAACTGCAGAAATACGTTTGCCAGTTTTGGTGAGGGTTCAACATAAGCTTACTATATCTACTTTTTTTTTAAGGTCTGGATTCTTCTCTAGTGCCTTTTCATTACCCCAAATTCCTTTCCGTTCTGGTACTCAAGATATAATCACGTGTATTTCCCCATGTTTTGGATATTTTGACTGCATTCACTTATTAAGTTTGATGTGATTTTTTTTGTGTTAATGCTCTAACAGCTGCTTGGTATTTTATCTTGTCTTATGAGGATTTTTTTTTTTTTAATCTCTTGTAAGATTTTCTAAGGCACAAGGTTGATAGATGTATTTCAGCTTGAAATGCAGTTACCTAATGTGTTTAATTGCTCTGTTTTGGCTTGTCCAGAAAAAAAAATCTGATCCCATCCATGCTTTTGGAGCCATATCATTGTATTTGATGTTCTACTTTGTATTCTTTATGGGATGTTGTTGAACTTATGGCCAGCACTTTGTGAGGTTCCTCAGGAGGGTGTACTTTTCGCTGGAGTTAGGATCAAAAAGAAATGTCTTATGTAAGAAATGGTCTGCTTTGCCCATTTGCTCACATAATATTTCAGCGTTTTTTTTTTTTTTTTTTTTTTTTTTTTTTTTTTTTTTTTTTTTTTTTTTTTTTTTTTTTTAATAGGGACATTTCAGCCCCGAGCGCATGCGGAATATTACAACACACATTCAATACTTTTTCACACAAATAAATACATTGACACATACATTTCATTCATTCTCTTTGGTGGATGGCGTACTGAATATTCCTCCATCGACCTGCATACAATAAGCAACTAATGTAATTGGGGTCGATGGGGTACTTTTATAAATATTCCGCCATCAACCCAAGCCACATACAAAGTTCGAGAGGCGATGGGAATGCTATTCCACCATCAGCCCCTCCTCATTCACTCTAATAAATACATTCACTCATACAAAACATATTTTGAAGGGAAGGCTATATACAATAAAAACCCAATTCCCCTAAAAAGCGGAACAGAGGATCCAAAAACTCGCTACCGTGTTCGAGAACTCTTCTTAGATCCGGCAGTATGCCTACACGCTCTCTGTATGGAGCCAAGGCATGACATGCCTTTCAGCATTATTCTTCTCTTTTCAGGGCAGGAGGAGAACCCCTGCCTCCAAGCAGATGCTATCAAGCAGGCTTGTCCTAAACGCGCCTGCCACTAGTCTTAAGCCTTGCATGTAATTAGTGACTAATTTTCTGGCACAGTAGCATTGTTAATAGGGTCATCAGTACCTTCTTTCTCCCCCACCTGAAGTTCGACACATATCTCAAGAGGATTAAATATATACAGATATTTACTTAAATTTTGAAAGTGTCCATTCATAAAATCATGACAGGATTAGTATTATCTTACAAAGAAAACTAACAAATATTCTTTAAAAATTTTTTTTTCTTTGTCACCACCCAGGAAATAAAAATTTCTCTATTTTAGGGATGGGTAACATCATTGAGAAAAATGAAAGAGTACATTTTCCTAGATTTAAACGACGGCTCATGCAGCAAGCCATTGCAGATAGTTGTACAGAAAGACAACAAAATAAAAGCCCTCCAATTTGGCTGTTCTATCGAGGCGGAGGGCGAGCTTGTTAAAAACAAAAACGGCCAGTTAGAACTAAAGGCAAGCGACGTCAGACTGATCGGTCAATGCAATATCGATGACGGTTACCCTTTCGCTCCGAGGAAGCACTATTCCAACGATTATATGAGACAGTATCTTCACTTAAGACTGAGAAATAACGGCTTTGCTGCATTATCACGAATAAGAGGTGCCGCTACAACTGCAATTCATAACTTTTTCAACACGCACAACTACATTAATATACATACACCGGTATTGACTTCAAATGACTGTGAGGGTGCTGGTGAGGTCTTTTTAGTAGAACCTGATTATGAGACCAAAAAAGGAGAAAAAAAGGAGTGCTTTTTTGATAATAAAGCTTTCTTGACTGTCTCTGGACAACTCCATCTGGAAGTTGCCGCTAGGTGAAGTACATTTATACATATACTGTATGCCTATAGACATTGTGATAAGTTATAGTACCAATAAATGTTTCATATGATTATAACATAAAAATATATGAGTTTCAGACATTATAAATGTTCATACTTTCACTTATAATTATGTTATTTTAGATGTTTTCACAAAGTTTACACGTTTGGTCCAACATTCCGTGCTGAAAACTCCAAGTCTCGACTCCACTTGTCTGAGTTTTACATGGTGGAGGCAGAAACCGCATTAGCTCAAAGCACTGAAGATCTGGTCCACTGTGTAGGGAGTATGTTCCAATATGTAACTAAATATTTGTTAGAAAACTGCAGTGAAGACATTTATTTATCCAGGAAAGAAATCGGTGATAAGGATCTCACATCGAATCTAGAGAATGTGGTTGATAAACCATTTTGTATTATGTCTTATGATGAAGTTTGTAATGTCCTCAAAGGCAGTAAAAAATTGAAGACAAAATTTGTTCCAAATATGCCCCTGACAAAAGAGCAAGAGCTCTTTATCGTCGAACATAACGACAAATACCCTGTATTTGTAATCGATTGGCCTGCTGAAATTAAACCTTTTTATATGAAGTCCAAGGACAATGACGAGAACAGGGTATGGGTTTTATTTTCTTCTTGAAATTCCTTGATGATGACATTTTGCCATTACAGGTTATGGCTTTTGATCTCCTCTGCCCAAATGTAGGTGAAGTCTGCGGAGGAAGTTTAAGGGAAGACGATTATGGGATGTTACAGAAAAAGCTGGAAGATGCAGGCATGGCTGAGAGGCTAGCTTGGTACCTTGAGCTAAGAAAATTTGGCAACGTCCTCACTGGGGGGTTTGGATTAGGTTTCGAACGATACTTACAAGTTTTATTAAACATATTAAATATCAAAGACAGTATTCTATTTCCAAGGTGGCCTCATAATTGTAAAATGTGAATAGAATAAAGAACTTGATTAAAAATTCTGTGATATACCTTAGTTCGCCTTTCTGTACAGCCGTAGAAGTTATAAGAATTTATTTATTTCTATTAAACTTCTATCAAAGAAATATTATTAGTATATTAATCCATATATGTTTAGCGGTCATAATTGATCTATTTAATTATTTCTATTAATTACTTTTCATCTAATGTCTTGGTCGAGATGAAAAAGTTAGTGTCACGAGTGGGATTCGAATTATTATTAATGTTAATTAATTATATGATCAAACTGTCAATGTATTATTATTGTAATTTTTTGTTAAGTGAAATAAAAATGTGAATGTTAGAATTTTACTCTCCTACTATCGAAAAAATTGTAATTTTAAGAAACAGAATCATCTTGGTATTATGAGAATATACGACAATTCCTAAGCCTTGTGTATTCAAGTAGAAAAAAAGTATCATAATAATTCTAAAAAGTAAAAATTTGGCATCCGTTCAAACTTTATTTTTTCGGTTATGACTAGCAATTTGAAGGGTGGATTTGCCCAGTAAAAAAAACCATTATATCACCTTGAGAAATTAAAAATTTTTTAAAACTTATTTTGTTTTCTCTTCTTTTAACTTAATTGAGTGAATGCATATTATGGTTGTGATCATTCTAAATATAGTATAAGACAAATTTCCAGTGGCATTCCTCACTTAATCAGATTATTAAATTTGGTACAATAGCTTGCAACAATTATTTAACGGTAATAGATACAAATTTAGGGTGGTTGGCCATACAATATTGGCGTGATGCTTCCTTTTCAGTCGTCTTTGTGATCTTGGAATTGGTCGGCTTTGGGCCATTTCTTGAATCAGTCAGTTGGGGTGTGCCATGATGAACTGGTGGTGTCGACTTTAGGTGTGATGTTAGGGATGTTCAAATCTTTGTGGATAGTTTGGTTCTGAATATACCATGAAGCGTTTGTTATTAACCAGATGATACAATTCTGAATGGTATAGTTTGCCCATTTTTAATTTGTAATCAAATGCTGTTGACCATGTGGTGCAACCGTATTGCCAATAGGCAGGCATTAAGATGATTATGTAAATGAGTCGCTTCATAGTTCATACAGAGAGGAATGGTTTTACATTGTTTTATTTTTAACTATTTTCACTGCTACTTTTTTTTTTAACAGTGAGTATATAAGAGTCTAAGGGAAGTCTTGGAAAGTAAAATACTCAAGAGGGTTCAGTAATGAAGATCAAATGAAAAAAATGAAGAAATGTAAATTTTGTTATTAGGAGAGAAGATGGTAGGGAAAAATCTTTGGAAATTTTCCAAGGCATCATATGACAGCCCCATAGCAATCGAACACAAAACACAATCGAATACTTGAATATTTCGCCTGCATTGGACTAGGCCTCGAGGTGAGGAAGAAAAGACAGACAAAGGGTTAAAATTATGCCTATTTATAGTTCACAACCTCAATTCTTTAAACATTGTAGCTTCCCAGAGGACTAGTGTCCCTTAACAATATTAATTATTTTTGTTTGGGATTCACACATTGGTCTACTCAGGAACAAAAAGCAACGTCTCATCCCATCCACCAGACCATGGTGCCAGCTACTCCATTGTCACCTCAGAAGACCGACACCACATGGACGTGAATGATTGAAGGATTTGATTAATTGTCGTGCTAATTATTAGTGTGTAGTATCTATCTTATTATTTTTTCAACTGTGAAATAATTATACTAAGATGAGTGCTTGAAATTTATTGCATGCAATATAGTAATATCTAAATTTCCCTAGTTCTTAAGCAATTAGTACATAATTGTAAAAATTAATAGTTAATTGATCTTATTATTTTTATTTTTGGATGTTTTTCAGATTTGTTTGCGTTTTCAACTGTGTTTACACTTTAAAATAATAAAAAAATTGTAAAACACATTTGGAAGTTAAGTGTAATAAGTTTATTCAAACTTCTAAAAATTAATATTTAATTTGATCTTCATGATGATTTTATAGACTGTTAATATTACTACAGTTCTAATGGAAAAATGTACCTACATGTGAATTATGCTTATTTGTACTATATAGGCTCACAGCGACAGGGCTCAGCACAATTTGTAATAGTCCATAAATTTAAAAAACTTTTTATCATTTTTTTTTAAATTCTGCATTATAGGATATAAATACACCAACAAAAATGTTTTCAGTTTTTGGTAACAGAAAAAGAAAAGTACATAGATGGGGACATTCACAGTCTATATTCTACCTAGATCCATCTATGAATGAGAGACGAAACAGAAGGGTAAAAATATTTTAACATGATTGGCAAATAATAAATGATAATGTAGTTTATTAAATTCTCATGTTTGGGATAGGTTTTGTGATCATTTAATAGACATTAATACAATCTAATCGCCAAAATTTGCATTAAAAAGGTACGTATTTTTAATTAGTGATCCACATATCTATTCAAGAATGCATAACAAATGCATTAACAATTTGTTCTAGTGGTGCACAAAATTTTGTGGTGGGGATCAGATTCTCACTTTGTCTTAACTAAATCTATAAACATGTTACTTCCTCATGGATAATTACTACATCTGATTTTTTTGAGTTAAGTTTTCTAAATTCTGAACCGATTTTATTGATGTATGATATGAAGTTTATTTTTATTTAAAAACCCATTTGAATGTTTAACTTGATTGTCGAAATTGGATTGGAAGTGGATTAGTAATTTATTCAGTCGCCACATCTGGAGAGTTTCCCAGCTATGAAACTGGAAAAGAACTGGAAAAGTTAGATGGTCAAAAAATGGGTATGTTGAATGTTTGAAGAGAAAACGGTAAGTCCAGCAACTTTTTTAAAGTTTATAATTCAACTTATAAGAATTTTTGTCATTACATATTAATTAGATTTACTTAAAGGTTGAAATAAAATAAAAAAATTCATAACAAAATGTATATAAATACTTGATATATGATCAGTAATTTGGTCAAGGGGCAGAATAAAAACAAAATTCCAATTTTGCCAAGCTTTCGACCCGGGCTTCAAGGTCATCATCAGGGCCTATCTTTTCAAACAAATTAACGACATGAAGTTTTTTTCGGAGGATCTACGGAAGAGGTCAACACAGAAAAACTTCCTTTCGGTTTTCGCCGAGCTTTCGACAGTTTTTATACTGTCATCTTCAGGGCCTGTTTTATTATCATATAAAAAACAAACAATAATTAAATTGAATAAATTAATAATTAAAAATTACAACTATAAGTACAATAAAATTAATGTAACAATAAATACAATAAATGTAATTTTTAATTATTAATTTATTCAATTTAAATAATGTTTAGATGCTGAGCAACAAAAAAACGTAATGTACTTCTGTGCCCAAAACACCATGTCTTTTTATTTCCCCATTAAGGTATAAGTAAGATATTTCAATTTTTGTGCAATTTGTTTTTTTCATGTTTTTAATTGTTGTTTTTTTATATGATAATAAAACAGGCCCTGAAGATGACAGTATAAAAACTGTCGAAAGCTCGGTGAAAACTGAAAGGAAGTTTTTCACTGTGTTGACCTCTTCCGTAGATCCTCCAAATAAACTTCATGTTTTCAGCAGGTCGATAACCCAGCTCATTGTTACATTAACTACAATTAACAGTTATTTTATAAACAAAAAACAAATACCAATTTTCAGCACAGTTAACTACTTACTATATTGGTTTTTTTTAAATTTGTAGTAAAGTGACATTAATTATTTTATTTTACAAATTTAGAAGCTGAAAATTTGTTCAGTTAAATATTTTTAAAGAAAATGGAATCTCTTAAAAACTAAGTTTTGGTGAATTTTCTTTTAAACCATCATAATTAAATATTTTTTGTTTTTTGCTTAAAAAAAAATTCCATATAGTTTTTAAAAAAACCATCATCTTTTTAAAAACAGTCCTTTTACTTTTACTTTAGACTTTACCTCCTCTAAATGATCAAGTTAGGACATCTTTCCAGTGTTTGACAAAACCGACAAATCGGTTGGGCTTACCGCCAATCCGAAGACTCACTAAATCATTCAATTGGTAGTAGTGACAGACTTGGCCATGCAGCTTGTCGATGCAAAATGGCATATATCTTTTAAAAGAAACTATATGCAATGAACAATTTTAATAATACTTTTAAAAAGGTGCTGATGATTGTTGTAAATTCCCAAAACATCCAAATAAATGTTTAACTAAGTAACGAATTTACTTCTCTCTCTCTCTCTCTCTCTCTCTCTCTTTTTTTTTTTTTTTTTTTTTTTTTTTTTTTTTTTGAAAAACATGAAATTGTTTTTTAAACAAAAAAAATACAAATTAGTCTTAAAAATTTCCATGTGATTAAAAAAACTTAAATATTTTTTAGGAAATCTCATAAATCGCATTTAATTTGGTTTACATTAAAATAAATACATTATAATGAATACATTAAAATAATAATAATAAAAATGCACATAGGGTGAAATAAACAACAAAATATGAGTTCCCAGTTTTTTATTTTTATTTATTTATTTATTTATTTATTTTTATTTTTTCTTTATTTTTTCTTTATTTTTTCTATATTTATTTATTTATTTACTTATGTTTTTTAATCCTTGAGTATATACATAATCAAAAATGTGCCAGTTTATAAAGCAAATATTGTTTTTTATTTCAACTTTTTTTTACTATTTATAATTAAAAAGAAATAAAATCAATATACATAGTCCAATTGCTTTGATAAAAAAACTCAAATTGATTGTGTATCTCTTACACGGCAACTCTATGAATCATGTAAAATATATTTTTTTCATGAATGCCCCCTCGTTGTATACTTCAAAAAGCTGATTTTATCTTTTTACAGAAGAATATCCGTAAGATTATTTAAAGCGAAGAAACATTCTCATCGAATAGGAGATTAAAATAACGATCGTAACGGACAAGCTGAGTGATTATTTTGGAAAATTTCCGCAATGAGCTTAAAGGACATTTTAAATTGTACGACATTTAATATTTCTAAAATCTGGAGGTAAATAAGACATTTACATATTTTTATTAAATTAATTATACACAATTTTTCAAAATGAAAAGTTTGTGACATAGGCGGGATTCAAACCCATGATCTTCGGATAAATCCTCCAAAGCCCTACCACTTGAGCTACCTTGATTTTAATCACCCATGTCACAAATTTCCCTTTTCGATTTCCTATTTTAATAATTGTTCATTTTGATTGAATGTATATAATAAAAATAAAAAAAATTTTTGTGGTAAAGAAGTTGTTTAAAACTTGACGATTTAAAAAAAAATATATATATATATTTTATACTTAACAGGACTTACTGATACTTAACTTTAACAGGACTTCGTTCTGATGAATGGTGTAATAACAAATTTTTAATAGTGGTTTTAATAAATTTTGTCAGATGAAACACGTAAAGATGGAACATCTCGTAATCTAGTTAAGAAGAACTAATTGGGCATGGACGTCATTAAAATAATTTGTTTGGTGACATTAGTAAAAAAATGATCATTTATCCAGTATTTAGATTGTTTCTTTTGCAAATAGGTAATTAATCTTTTGCTATCAGTTATCAAATATAAAAACTAAACATTGAATTTTAATATTGCAGTTTTCGCCTACTGGTTTGCAGACAATGCACATAGTAAAAAGTACACCATTTTAAAGAAAAGGGTAAGACGTTGTCAAATAATTTTTAATTTTCACAATCATAACATTTCCAATGATTGTATAATATATGTCTATATTTAAAATGCTCTCTCCCCCCCCCAACTTTTTGCAAACTCGTTTCAAACAATTTTTATTGAACAATTCTCCCTCTTGTATAATTTTCCCTCTTTAAAAACTGTTACTCATGACCTTGGTGCTATTTTCAACCACAAATGACATTAAATTTAAGTTAATTTTCACAATTATGACATTTATACAATCTCCAATGATTATATAATATTTGTCTATATTCTAAAATGCTCTCTTTTTTCCACTTTTTGTCAACTTCAAGTTTCAAAAAACTTTTATTGTACAACAATTCTCTCTATTGCATAATTTTCTCTCTTTTTAAAACTGTTACTCATGACCTTGGTGCTGTTTTCAACCACAAACGAAATTAATTATTTTATTTAATTATTTAATTTTCACAATCATGACATATAATATTTGTCTATATTCTAAAATGCTCTTTTTCCAACTTTTTATCAACTTCAAGTTTCAAACAACTTTTATTGTGCAACAACTCTCTCTATTGTATAATTTTCTCTCTTTTAAAACTGTTACTCAAGACCTTGGTGTTGTTTTCAACAACAAATGAAATTAAATAATTAAGTTATTTGATTTAATTAATATAATGAAAAGGCTAATTTAATTAAACTTTTCTGCTCACATTAAATCCTCCAGCTTAAAAATTGATTGGCTTCTTATCTTTCTTACCCTACTGATTTGAAAACACAAGGCCTTCATGCTTGAACTGCCATTTGTATATTAAAAAATTTTTAAAAAAATAAAAAAAAGGTCCCCCAAGCCTGCAGCCTCTGGCTTATTGTACTTTCCTAGTTCTTTAGTTCATTCTGTCGATTCACTCCTTCTTTTAAAGAAAACTAGATCATTGACTATCATTGCTACGATTCATACCCCTGGGTTTTCTTTGTATCCCAGGTTATGTCTCCATTGACCGGTTGCTTCACATTCGAATATGACACGAGTGACCGTTTCTATCCTCCTCATTGTATAACCTATAAAGGTGGGTCATTATTGAATATTTTCATATTATGGCCAGTATATGGTCCTATCACTCCTCTGAGTTTAGCACTTTCTAATTGTAACAATAATTTTGACAGTTTTTTAGAGGGTTCTTAACAACATATGATTTTTAACTGCTCTCTAGATGCACCATTCACACTTGAGGAACTACTCTCGGTACAAAAGAAGTTAAAAGATCACAAGGCAGCGGGACCAGATAGAATTCCTTATGAGTTTTTTAAATATGCTCCACGTCAATTCCAAGAACATCTCCTTTGTTTTTATAACTATGTTTATGAATATGGTTCAGTCCCTTCTTCATTTGGCGAATCGAACATTTTCCCTCTTTTTAAACAAGGGGATAGAAATGATCACACTAAATACAGAGGCATTTCATGTCTGAATGGTGTGGCCAAGATTTTTTCTTGCTTACTGCTCAGAAGGTTAGAAGTTTATGTTGATGCCAACGGTCTTCTAGGTGAAAGTCAAATGGGGTTTAGAAAAGGGTTCTCGACTAGTGACAATCTGTCAGTATTGGCCAACATAGTCAATTTAAGACTGTTGAAACCAAAGCAGAAGACGTATTGCTTCTTTGTGGATTTGAGAGCTGCTTTTGATGGTGTACATCATCGGGGATTGTTTTTAAACTCAATGACTTAGGATTTTCCTCAAAGATGGTCAACACTTTAAAATCCTTATTCTCTGTGACTTATGCGAGTATGCGTTGTAAGGAGGGTATTTCAGAGTTTTTTAAAGTGCATTGTGGAGTGCGTCAGGGTTGCCAGTTGAGCCCAATCTTATTCGCTCTCTTTTTACATGACCTACCAAATGTCCTGGAATGTGGAATTCATATAGGTAATAGGTCAATTAAAATATTAATGTATGCTGACGATATAGTTATCCTATCGGATGTGCAACTGGCTTAAAAAGAAATATCAAACTATTTGAACATTACTGTGAACAGTGGAACCTCACAGTTAATTTAGAGAAGTCCAAAATCATGGTGTTTAGGAGAGGGGGTAGGTTGAGTTCTCTGGATCGCTTTTTTTTCAGGGGCAATCTCATTGAGATTGTAAATGAATATAATTATTTAGGAGTCATATTTACACCGAGACTCTCTTGGACAACACTTCTCTTGGAAAGCGTCAGTGGCTAAATTAGGTCTAAATAACACATGGTCAGCCTTCCTACTCAAAGAAACTATCCTTATTAAAGTCAAGTATAATATTTTTAAGGCGATAAGTCGTACAATTCTGTGCTATGGCTGTCAAATGTGGGGATACCAGAGGTTTGAAGCAATAGAAAAGTGCAACGTTTTTTGTAAGAAAGTTGTTCACATTACCATCTGGTACACCAAACTATATATTATATTTAGAGACCAACTTGGATTTAATTTTGGTGTATACACTTAAGCTTCACTACTCCTATATTGTGAAAGTTCTGATGTATCCCGATACTAGATTCACAAAAATAACATCGTTGGCAGTCATAAAGACTAATATTTCTTGGTTCGCTCATTGGAAATATTTGTTTGAAAAGTACAACTTGCCTTTCCTCATATCCTTAGACAACCTCTGTGACTGACAATCATTTTTCAATTCTTATTAATCAAATTAATAAACAACATCACGAAGAATGCCGGTCACGTGTCCAAGCATCTACACATCTCACACTTTACAAGGAGGTACAAATTTCTCCTGCATTGTTCAACCAACATGAAGATAATTTTGACGGTCTTTGTCTCAATGAGTTGCGATGGCTATTTAAGCTGAGAACTTGCACTTAAACTTGGCTGTTTGGATCAGAGGGGAATTGGGAATCTGTTCTTTGTGTAATTCACACTCTATTGAAACTGTATCCCACTTCTTGGCGGAGTGCTCATCCCTGGGTGAGATTCGGTTGTTGCATCTTGGATGTTTCACTCTCCCTAGGGTTGACCTGCTACGGTTTTTGAGTGGCTCATTCGCGGCCCTTAATTCGTTACGCTAGGCATGCATGGAATTACAGATATGAATTAATTAATGAGTTTAATTTTTGATTTCTATTGTATAACCTGTTTTTCTGTTCTCTTTCACATTTTGGCAGTTGTTGTTTCTCCTTTTTTTTCTTTTTATTGCATAGGCTATAACTTTTATTTTATTTTATTGTGTATTTTTTCGTTTCTGATTGTTTAATCAATGACCTCTGGCAGACGGATCCAAGATCCATGGCCTTAAATGCTTTGAAATCTAAATTGTCTTTTTTCTTTTTTTTATGTTTAATAAAGCATTATTATTATTATTATATTATTATTATTAGAGGGTTCTCAACATAAGCTTACCATATCACCTCTAGAATTTATCCCCTTTTCCTTTTCTTTTTTTTTTATCCATTCTGGGATGGAGGATTCTGTATTTGTTTTTTCTATCCCAACAATAGGTTCAAGGCCTATAATGGTCTAGCATGGGGATTCCCTAACTATGAACTTTGAGAAAAATCAATGAACGTAGAATGAATAAATAAAATTAACAAACTAATAACAACAAATATTGAAAATGAAAGTTTTTTATTTCTATTTCTATTTCTTCTAAGTTTATTTTTGCACACATAAGCCAAATAGGTATGGCTCGGGATGATTCTTGTGCGATACTTGCCTCCATTTTTGGCTCCGTCAGGAGAACTGCTCGAATAGAAGAATATCTACTATCTCATTTTATCTAAAATAAAATATCTAATTTTATATATTAGAATCTATTTTAATCTAATTTTAAATACTTGAATGAGAGGGTCCGCTGAATAAAAAGTTTTGGTATGACATAATATGGTAGAAAAGGATACGAGGAAGCGGGGTTTGTACTCCCCAGGCACTGCAGCTTTCTAGCTTATGTACCTTCCTAGTTCCTTAGGTCATCATCAAGATCCATTCTTCTTCTTAGAAGTATCAGGTCATTGACTGTTGCTGCTGCAGTTTGATTCCCTAAGTTTTTTCCATATGTTAGGTTAAACCTCCATTGTGATGTTGCTTCGCATTCGAAGATGATATGAATGGCTGTTTCCTCCTCCTCATTACATAATCTGCAAATGGGATCATTGCTGTATATGCCCATGTTGGGTAGATGTTTTCTCTGATGCCATTGACCGGTTAGTAGTCCTACCACTCCTCTGAGTTTGGCCCTCTCCAATTACAGCAGTGTTTTTGCCAGTCTCGGTAGCATCATAAGTTTACTATGTCTAGCACCGCTAGAGTTTATCCACTTCTCCTTTTGTTTTGCTTGGATCCATTCTGCGATGGAGGATTCTATATTTGTTTTTGTTATCCCAAGAATAGGTTCAGGGCCTATGTATGGTCTTGCAGATTCTCCTCTGGTCAGTCTGTCTGCTTTCTCGTTACCCAAAATTCCCCTGTGCCCTGGCACCCAAGATATCATCAGGTTGTTGTGTTTCCCCAGGTTTTGGAGATGCATTCACTGACTAATTTTGATATGCTTCTTTTACATGCTAATGCTTTAATGGCTGCTTGGCTCTCTGATCTTATGAGGATTTTTTTGTAAGTTTAACCTCTTTTAAGATTTTCCAGGGTACAAGCATTGATGGCTTGAAGCCAATGCCTACCACAAGCTTGAAAGACCGAAGTGTACTTCCCTAATGAGTTTGATTGCTCATGTTTTGCGCTTGTACAGAAAACGCCTGATCTGGTTCTTCGTTTGTTTTGGAGTCATCTGTGTACCATATCATTGTATTTGACGCTCTCCTGTGTTCTCCCTCTCCTTTATAGTCCGTTGAGACTTTATAGGAAGTTGTGAAGATTGTTTCCAGGATCCTTTCCAATTTAATTGTTTCTGGGGCCTAAGTGAGCTTTTCCTAGCCTCTCCTTGTATGAATATTTCCAGTGGAGGTAGGTTTAGCAAAGTTTCTAATGCGTTTGTAGGGGTTGTTCTCATCACCCCTGTGATACATAGGTTTGTAAGTCTTTGTATGCTGACTAATGTTTGGGTAGCTACTTACTAAATTATTACTTTTGAATTTGGCCCGAGTTTTACCTACCTATTGCTTTCGTTCTGTCCAATTTGATTTCTGGGTCCCAGACTTTTTAAATAAAGTTAATTATGACAAACTAACATTTGTTTTCATAGCGATATCCCGCTTCATGACCTAATTAAGAATGGACTGGCTAATTTATAAAACTTTAATAACTACAAACTACAATATAGTATTATCTACTATCTAATTTTATCTAAAATAAAATATCTAATTTTATATATTAGAATCTATTTTAATCTAATTTTAAATACTTGAATGAGGGGGTCTGCTGAATAAAAAGGGAAGCCCAAGTCTAGCAGATCCTCGACTGATCAGTGTGTCTGCCTTTCAATTACCCCAAATTCCTTTGATTTCTGGAACTCAAGAAATCATCATTTTGGAGTTTGGAGATTTTCATGCATTCACTGACTAATTATGATGGGATTTTTTTATGTGTTAATGGTTTAATAGCTGCTTGGCTATGAGATCCTTTGAGGATTGTTTGTCAGGGTAACCTCTTTGAAGATTTTCTAAAGCGTATGTGTTGATGGAACGATTTCAGCTTGAAAGCTTCTGTGAAGGAGGGTTCTATGTTTGCTGTTATATAGACATTTTAAAGAAATATGACATTCTGAACATTTTAATACTTGTAGAACTAATGCACAGCTAACAATAATTTATCACTTTTCACACCAATGGCGATGAACTTATAACAATATGGCTTTTACTTTTTTAAATTTCCTAAATTAAATTCAATAAACATATTTGCCTATATTTAAATTTTACTAGATTATTAGATATTTGATGATTATGTCGAAATGTACTTTACAACAAAAATGTAATAGGTGAACTGGTGGAGAGCAGCTATGCAATGCCAAAAACGGGATATGCAGTTAACAGAATTTGAAACGTACGATGACTTGAAGAAACTGCTCATTTCACTCAGATCACAAAATATTACACAAGGAACTTATTGGATATCTAAACAAGTTTTCACGAATTGGCCGAAAAATAAAACATCATTAGTGATGACTCTGCAGCACAAGCTTAATCACATTACCAGTGAAAATCAGAATTCAAAATTCCGTGCTAAAAGAACAATCAACATAGTAAACAATACGAATACAACAAAAACAGACAAAGAATTTCGAAGCATTAATTCAACACCAGTAGAAAGAAAAAAACAGAAAAATTACATAACTTTAAGAAGTAAGAGATCAATGAAAAATGTACAATTAGAACAAAACAAAAATGGAAACATAAAATCAGCTACAATAGAAACTTTGGATAAATTAAAATCACAGATGAAAAAACTGGAAAAGAGACAAATTACTTTAAAAGAATTCGACTTTAATTTCCACGAGTCAGATCATGAAACTGAACAGACACAATCAAAACCCCACATGTCGAAAAAAGAAATAACATCAATGGAAACAACAGTAGATCAAACGAAAATAAAACCTGATAGATCAACCAAAAAGATGGGATATCGTGCTCCAAGGAAAAAAAAGGTAAAAATATGGAGAAGACTACAAACCAATGATTTACCAACAAAAATAGAACTGACAAAATTCAATTATACTTGGTTACATTTACTAACGACTACATTAGGATCTCTTAAATTGGCTGGGAATTATAATACAACCTTGCTTCCGACAACGGCGGGAGTATCAGGCGCATTAAAAAATATTACAGGAGATGAAGGTATTTCCTATAAAAAAACATATTCGAGGTACACTAGAGAGTCAACAACCATAATGAATAATGCTACAACTAATTCACCAACATCAGCTGTCATGTCAGCTAATGGAGAAGAAATACAGAGAAACGAACCGAATACAGTCACGAATGTTACTCATTTGAAGTTGGAGGGAAGTACAAAGAAGAGAGTAAGGAAGTCTGCAGATTTATACTTCTCAAGAAATGGGACACCATATACCAGAAGAACAACGAGCAAGCCAACTACCCATGCGATTGGCGTCAAACCAGATTCAACATCATCACTCGAAATTTCACTTCAGGAAAAAGAAATACATACAACTGAACCCTCCACAGTGGATAGGTTTAACCAATTGAAGTCTGAACGCAGTACTCAGAACATACGAAGGAAGCCTGTAGATTTATACTTTGTAAGAAAAGGGACACAATATACCAGAAGAACAAGTAGCCATCCAACTACCCAAGTGATTCTTGCTACAACAGATTCCCCATCATCACTCGACAGGTCATTTGAAGAAAAAGAAACACGTTCAACCGAACCCTCCACAGCAGATAGTTTCACCCAATTGACGTCTAAACGAAGTACGCAGAACATACTAAGGAAGCCGGTAGATTTATACTTGGTAAGAAAAGGGACACAATATGCCAAAAGAACAAGTAGACATCCAACTACCCAAGTGATTCTTGCTACAACAGATACCCCATCATCACTCGACAGATCATTTGAAGAAAAAGAAATACGTTCAACCGAACCCTCCACAGCAGATAGTTTCACGCAATTGACGTCTGAACGAAGTACGCAGAACATACTAAGGAAGCCGGTAGATTTATACTTGGTAAGAAAAGGGACACAATATGCCAAAAGAACAAGTAGACATCCAACTACCCAAGTGATTCTTGCTACAACAGATTCCCCATCATCACTCGACACATCATTTGAAGAAAAAGAAATACGTTCAACCGAACCCTCCACAGCAGATAGTTTCACGCAATTGACGTCTGAACGAAGTACGCAGAACATACTAAGGAAGCCGGTAGATTTATACTTGGTAAGAAAAGGGACACAATATGCCAAAAGAACAAGTAGACATCCAACTACCCAAGTGATTCTTGCTACAACAGATACCCCATCATCACTCGACACATCATTTGAAGAAAAAGAAATACGTTCAACCGAACCCTCCACAGCAGATAGTTTCACGCAATTGACGTCTGAACGAAGTACGCAGAACATACAAAGGAAGCCTGTACATTTATACTTGGTAAGAAAATGGACACCGTATACACGAAGAACACCGAGTCAGCCGACTACCCATGCGATTGGTGGTAAACCAGATTCACCATCATCACTCGACATGTCACTTCAGGAAAAAGAAATACATACAACAGAACCTACCACAATGGACAGTTTTACCCAATTGACGTCTGAACGAAGTACAAAAAAGAAACGGAAGAAACCTATAAATTTATTCCTTCTAAAAAATGGAACAAAACAAACCAGAATAACAACTAGCCATCCAACTACCCACGCGACGGGCGCTACAGCAGATTCGCCAACGGCACCCGATGTGTCACCTGAAAGCGAAGACGTACATATTACCGAAGCTACAACAGCTATTAGTGGCACTCCATACATTTCAGTAGGAAGTACAAAGGAGAGACGAAAGAAACCTGTAAAATTATTCCTTGTAAAAAAAGGAACAAAACAAACTAGAAGAACATCTAGCCATCCAACTACCCACGCGATTGTCGCTACAACAGGTTTACCAACTTCACTCGATGTGTCACGTAAAAGCGAAGAAGTACATACAACCGAACCTACCACAGCCTTTAGTGGTACTCCATACATCACAGATGGAAGTACAAAAAAGAAAAGGAAGAAACCTGTAAATTTATTCATTGTAAAAAAAGGAACAAAACAAACCAGAAGAACAACTAGCCATCCAACTACCCACGCGATTAGCGCTACAACAGATTCGCCAAGGTCACTCTACAGGTCATTTGAAGAAAAAGAAATACGTTCAACCGAACCCACCACAACTGATAGTTTTACCCAATTGACGTCTGAACGAAGTACGCAGAACATACAAAGGAAGCCTGTAGATTTATACGTTGTAAGAAAATGGACACCGTATACACGAAGAACACCGAGCCAGCCGACTACCCATGCGATTGGTGGTAAACCAGATTCACCATCATCACTCGACATGTCACTGCAGGAAAAAGAAATACATACAACAGAACCTACCACAGTGGACAGTTTTACTCAATTGACGTCTGAACGAAGTACAAATAAGAAACGGAAGGAACCTGTAAATTTATTCCCTCTAAAAAATGGAACAAAACAAACCAGAATAAAAACTAGCCATCCAACTACCCACGCGATTGTCGCTACAACAGGTTTGCCAACGTCACTCGATGTGTCACCTGAAAGCGAAGAAGTACATACAACCGAACCTACCACATATTTTAATGGCACTCCATTCATTTCAGAAGGACGTACAAAAGAGAGACGAAAGAAACCTGTAAAATTATTCCTTCTAAAAAAGAGAACAAAACAAACTAGAAGAACAACTAGCTATCCAACTACCCACGCGATTGTGGCTACAACAGATTTGCCAACGTCAGTCGATGTGTCACCTGAAAGCGAAGACGTACATACAACCGAACCTACCACATCTTTTAGTGGCACTCCATTCATTTCAGTAGGAAGTACAAAGGAGAGACGAAAGAAACCTGTAAAATTATTCCTTGTAAAAAAAGGAACAAAACAAACTAGAAGAACAACTAGCCATCCAACTACCCACGCGATTGTCGCTACAGCAGGTTTACCAACGTCACTCGATGTGTCACCTGAAAGCGAAGAAGTACATACAACCAAACCTACCACATCTTTTAGTGGCACTCCATTAATTTCAGAAGGAAGTACAAAAGAGAGACGAAAGAAACCTGCAAAATTATTCCTTGTAAAGAATGGAACAAAACCAACTAGAAGAACAACTAGCTATCCAACTACCCACGCGATTGTGGGTACAACAGATTTGCCAACGTCAGTCGATGTGTCACCTGAAAGCGAAGAAGTACATACAACCGACCCTGCCACATCTTTTAGTGGCACTCCATTAATTTCAGAAGGAAGTACAAAAGAGATACGAAAGAAACCTCTAAAATTATTCCTTGTAAAGAAAGGAACAAAACCAACTAGAAGAACAACTAGCTATCCAACTACCCAGGCGATTGTCGCTACAACAGATTTGCCAACGTCACTCGATGTGTCACCTGAAAGCGAAGAAGTACATACAACCGACCCTGCCACATCTTTTAGTGGCACTCCATTAATTTCAGAAGGAAGTACAAAAGAGAGACGAAAGAAACCTCTAAAATTATTTCTTGTAAAGAAAGGAACAAAACCAACTAGAAGAACAACTAGCTATCCAACTACCCAGGCGATTGTCGCTACAACAGATTTGCCAACGTCACTCGGTGTGTCACCTGAAAGCGAAGAAGTACATACAACCGAACCTACCACATCTTTTAGTTGCACTCCATTCATTTCAGAAGGAAGTACAAAGGAGAGACGAAAGAAACCTGTAAAATTATTCCTTGTAAAGAAAGGAACAAAACGTACTAGAAGAACAACTAGCTTTCCAACTACCCACGCGATTGTGGCTACAACAGATTTGCCAACGTCACTCGATGTGTCACCTGAAAGCGAAGAGAAGGAAGTACAAAAGAGAGACGAAAGAAACCTGTAAAATTATTCCTTGTAAAGAAAGGAACAACTACCCAGGCGATTGTCGCTACAACATATTTGCCAACGTCACTCGATGTGTCACCTGAAAGCGAAGAAGTACATACAACCGACCCTGCCACATCTTTTAGTGGCACTCCATTCATTTCAGAAGGACGTACAAAAGAGTGTCACCTGAAAGCGAAGAAGTACATACAACCGAACCTGCCACATCTTTTAGTGGCACTCCATTCATTTCAGAAGGACGTACAAAAGAGAGACGAAAGAAAAACGTCACTCGATGTGTCACCTGAAAGCGAAGAAGTACATACAACCGAACCTACCACATCTTTTAGTGGCACTCCATTCATTTCAGAAGGAAGTACAAAGGAGAGATTAAAGAAACCTGTAAAATTATTCCTTGTAACAAAAGGAACAACACAAAGTAGAAGAACAACTAGCTATCCAATTACCCACGCATCAGTCAACACCTTGCCCGACAGTGAAAAATTTCTATCCGAACCGAGCACTGTCGAGAGTAATTTTTATTTCAACGTAGCGGATAATAAGGAAGAAAACTTTCTTTCTCGTGAAACACCGCCAGTCCCATTGGATGATTCACTGATGATGAAGCACTGTGTAAAACGTTTATTCAATGTCCATTCATCCAGATTGCGAACCCAGCGGATATTTACACCCAACTGGATTATTCATCTTTCCAATAAGTCTGAAAAGAATAAAGACAACGTAACATTATTTCCGACAACAGAGGTTCACGGAATAATCAGGACACCTGAGTACATCAAGAAATCGATAACTATTGGAAATAAGAGGTCGTACAATGTCGTATCCACCGCTACATCGAAAGCTACGCGACGTACTCCTCAGAGTGCCCGACTGCGGTCAAGAAATGATAATGAAAATATTACTACAATTCCTACGTCACCATCCTTAACGATGGCAAATAAACCTGCTTACGAAGATACGTCTGTTTCGGCACGGGAAACACCTTTCCATGTAACTTCATCATCAGCCCACGGTATCGATGGTATGGCATCCAAGACTTCTGGTAGTGGCATTTTGTACACTCTTCCGTCCATACCACAAACAAAAAGAGGGCGACCTACACCACAGTGGGTAATCGATCTTCTTAATTCGATTGGACAAATAACCGGTAATTTGACCGTAATTCCGACGACAATGCCATATGAACGTAAATCGACTGAGAATAAACCAATTTACAAAGAAACCGTAGCTTCAACATCTCGGGAAACTCAATCACCTTTCCACGTAACTTTGTCATNAGCGATGGTATGTCAGCCAAGACATCAGGTAGTGGGATTTTGTACACTGTTCCATCCGTACCACAATCAAAAGGAGGGCGACAGACACCACAGTGGGTAATCAATTTTCTAAAGTCGATTGCACAAGGAAATTATAATTTGACCTCAATTTCTATGACAACGCCATATGATCGTCTAACAGTGAATAAATATGATTACACAGGTAGGCGACCTCCGTGGGTAATACGTCTACTGAACACACTAACAAAAGAAAACTCCAATTTGGCTCCACTGCTTACGTCTACTTCATCTCAATATTTTTCACCACCACATATCACATTTCCTCTGGGCACGATGGCAGTATCATATAGAACTCGGAGAAGGCCATTGAAAGTTAAAATCATCCAAAACAGTACTTCCACCACTCCGTCATTTACAACTTACGTGACGTCTTCACAAACAATGAGTTCATCAGGCAGTGAGACGCTTGCCGATACGAAGAAGACGAGTATGCCAGTAACATATAGAAATCGCAGAAGACCATTTAAAGTTAAAATCATCAAACAAGGGACTTCCACCACTCCGTCATTAACAACTTATGCAACGCCTTCACGAAAAATGAGTGCCCCAAGCAGTAAGACGCCTGACGATGCGAAGAAGACGACTATGCCAGTAACATATAGAACTCGCAGAAGACCATTTAANTTGTCGGCTACACTTAGAACTCGGAGAAAGCCAGTTAAAATTAATATCGACGACAATAGATTAACGACAACCCCGTCATACACGCCGTTCCATATATCACATGGAATGTGGACTTCAGCAAAAAATCGTACGTTGGATGATGCATTGAAAACAGATAGCCAAGCTTTCACGAAGGTGACATCTTTTCCATCGACTCGGAGAAAGCCAATAATATTTAAGTACGCACAGAATGGAAAATCTGCCAAGCCTTCTAACACGCCATTGCAAACGTCTCAAATTCATACTGTTGGTGATGGATTTAAGACAACAAATATAATTTCACCTTCTCATTATAGTACAACTAAACTGCCAAAATTAGAATCATCAATTGGTATTTCATTTGAAATGACTGGGTTAATCGTAGGTCTTTCAATAGATGATAAACGTGAACAACTATATATCACTATAAATGAAAGTAACTACTCTTCTGCTGAAAGGTTCTTGAATATTACTGTTAAACCTGGCTCAATTGCCATAACTAGTGCCAGAATTCCTGTTAGTATAATTGCTGCGGATGAAGATGTTAATAACTCGACCTTAACAATCGATTTTATGTTTGGAAATGAACAAAAACGTGCGATTATAACAATTAAAAAAATCAGTCCATCGCCTAGGCCTCTAGGTATTTCTAATGTTAATATCAGGCGAGCAACAGTTTCTATAATGACTGTCAGTAATCTAGTCTTATTAAAAGTTGTAGATAAAGAGAAAAATTCTACTCCTTCAACAAAATTTGAATACGCAGATGGATTTAAATCATCTAGCCGACCGATGCCAGGTATGTCTGCCTTACCAGTCACTAATGGCCGACACGTAATACCTGACTGGGCAAGACAAATAATGGACAATCTCGATTTGCTCACACACCTTCTTGGTAAGGTTCCCAGTTCTACCAGTTATTATACAACGCCTGTTCAAAATGATAGTATAACGTCCCCCGTCACGGCAATGGAGTCTGTCGGGAGTGAATTGTATACCGATGCACCAACTTTGTTTAACAAAACTTCACAAGAACTGAACACCTCTACGGTCACTTTATCGTATGGATTTCCTAGTTCAGATCGTTATTCTACTTATTATACAACGCCTGTTCAAAATGATAGTATAATGTCCTCCATCACGGCAATGGAATCTGTCGGGAGTGAATTTTATACCGATGAATCAACTTTATTTGACACAACTTCACAAGAACTGAACACTTCTAATGTCCCTACAAAATATGGATTGCCTAGTTCAAATACGCCTTTTCAAAATGATAATATAACTTCCCCTAATGTAACGATTTTATATAACACCTCACACGACCTAAGCAGTTATAAAGGTTCTACATCATATGGATTATCTAGTTCAAATCCTACTGTAGCTATTTTTGTTAATACTTCGTCAGAAAATAAAAAAGCTGAAGAAAACCGTAAAACTACTGTGACATTTGACCATCACAAGATTACAACGGATTTTTTCCAAAATATATCATATCCATCGACAAATGAACCGAAAACCACTACTGTTGTAAATGAATTGATAACTAGTACTATACCTCCTTCAAATTCATTTAACAATAGCCAAAAAAGAACTGAAAAAATTCATGTTATACTTCAGAAGGTCGTATTTCCTTTCAAACGAAAAATGAATGATACTCACTCTGCATTGGCTCTTAAAAAGTCGTTATCAGTTGTTCCAGATAGTCGATCTCATATCTTCACCTCTGAATTTGGGATCAATGAAAATATCCTCGGTAAGTCAAGACATTTCAGTCATGTTTATTTCACTTTTTCATTTGTTCATTTTACAGGAGAGATCGATTCCAAACTGTGCCCGATGCTTATTGTTCTCAAGGATAGATTCAAGGTGGTGCTATTGCCTTGTTATTATTATGCAGATGCTCTTTGCCTTTAAAAATGATTGTATCTATATTTATTTATTATATATTATTTGCTAAAAATTTTTTAATGTTGTAAAAGTTTAAATTTTTAATTGTGATTTTGTAAGTACAGTAATGATACATGCAATAATACGTACTGTGATATCGAAAAAGGTATTTCAATATTCATATTGTTTAGGCCAGAATACATTTATTTTCTTGTACCAACTTTTTTTAAAATTATGTGTATTAAATGTATTTTCTAATCAATCAATAGAGTGCGTGGGATGTCCTTTTTTCCAAACGCCATTTTTAATTTTCACTTATGTGTTTTGTCTACTTTTTTTACTAGTCTAAGGTAAATCTCCGTTCTGTACGTTGTGCTCTTATAAATTCACTCTTTATTAAAATCCGTTAATCTCTCTAAAACGGTCACTAATCTACTCTCCTTTAGTCCTGAACCAGCCATGGAGACAAACTGGTGGAATACTCTCTAGTGCGAACGAAGTCCGGTGTATGAATGTGATTTATTAGCGTGATTGGAGGGGGGAATTACCCCGTGGAATCGTGTACTATGAGGTAGTGTGAATGCTAACAGGATTATTGTGTTTTTATCTTGTCTTTGTGTTTCTGTGTATTGGTATTTTTTTATCAACAATTGACGAGACCCTGAGGTAGGGAGGCGAGGAATAGGATAAAATAAAGGAGAGAGTTGGTTACCGATATATCACAAAACATCGTAACTTGGCTGGAGAAACAGTAAAAGAAGTTAGAAGGTTTAAAACGCGAGAAAGACAAGAAAAGAAATGCAAATTTAAGGAAGAAAGGCCTGGCGATGACCAATGTAGTTCACCGGCCCTAAAACTACAAAAAATGTACACCCCGCGTACTCCCTATATATTGAAATCATAAAATAACAAAACTGTTCATCTAAATATTATGTAAGGAGAACAAGGTATATCCTGGGACGTCTGCCCTCCAGAAAGAACCACCGCGATCCGGCCAAGTGACCCTGTACGAGCAATAAAGAACGTTATAAAAACGTTGGCATGTCAATTAAAAAAGGGTTCGCGCTCACCTCTGATTGACACACTGACACCTGCTTTGGAGGCAAACCCCGTGAAGGTGTCCCGCTGTAAAGAAAGGTTGTTCAGTGTGTCACACTTGGTCGAGGAGTACCACGCCTTGGCCACTTAAATGGAGCGAGTAGGCATGGCACCCGACATAAACCTACGAGAGTTTGTAGCTGTGCCCCTGTTCCGATTTTTAAGGGATTCAGTGTTGTTTTGTTTTATACAGTATTGTATTTAATATTGGGGTGTTTCTACATCTGTAAGTATTGTAAATATTATATGTAATTACTCACTGTGTGCATGTGTGTAGATATAATTATTGTGTATTGTGTGAATATATCACTTAATTATTCTTTTTATCTAAGGCTTTGGTTGAGATGGAGGCTGTTATGACTCCATTGTCGGTAGCCTCATAAAAAAGTTTATTGATATATCATTGTCCAAAAATGGTTGTTTCAACCCATCATACTCCATGCAAAGAAGACTTCTTGTTGAAATGATACAGCTCTGTCCGCACATATACTGAATTCGAAATTCATAACAATTTAATAACTTTTGTTGCTAGAATCAATTCTTAGATATTTTTGTAGATCCAGACTGTCCAATTTTTGAAGCATGATTCCATAGAGGTGGAAATTCTAATGGGGGAAAAACTGGTGGATTCGAGCCGGAATTCCAGCATATCTATGTCGCCTTCATTTGAAAAAGCAAACCAGGTAAACACCCTATTTTTATCGAACTCCTCGTTCATTTTCAATTTTCCACGGTTTTTGTTCATCGAAAACTCTCCTTCTTTTGCATATTTTTTCTCTTTTCTCATCTGTTTCCATTTTTTTGCGAAAAAGGGGGTCTGCTCATCGTAAGTTATTACTTAATCACAGAAAATATATGTAATGTTTACTTTCAAAAATATATTTAATTATATTATAATTAAATACAACATTGTAGAAGACAAAGATATTTTACAGACACAATTTATTTTACAAATGAAAGATCCGTTTTGCGAATTGCATAGTGAGCTTGTTATGTATCGTTCTGAACTACACAGACAGTAGTTCTTCTGATTTCCAATTCATTTAATGCCATACAATATCTATAAACAATAAAATAAATAATCAATTATAAATATTATTGCACAGTTAGATTTTCAAAACAGTTCAAACCTGAATAGCTCTAGCTTCTTCTGCATGTAAAGAAAAATCTGGCGTATACCCAAAGTAGAACGGGGCCATGATTGCTTTCTTATTATTGCTGTGCTTGAGGCCCAAAGAATGACCCAATTCATGAGCAGCGATTTGAAAGAAGTTACTTCCTATTTATATTCATATTTAGAGTAGTAAAATTTTTGAAAAAAAAAAAAAAACTTTTAGTCTACCTTCTGGTGTAAAAGCAGTCCAATTTTCGGCCAAGTCGAAATGCATATCTCCACCGTATCCTGGATAAAATGCATGCGCCAGGACACCGCCCTTGCCATCAAAAGGAGTATTGTCACCGTGTTTACCGCTGACAAATTTTATCCCAATGTGATAATTTCCTATTATTTAAAAATAAATTAAAAAATTAATATTTCGTATAACTGATTTTTTTAAACTTGTTTCGTTTATTGATTTCGATTGCACAATTAAAACTGAATTAAAATATTTTGGTTGCAATACCAAAAGAATTTCTTCCGCTACCTTTTTCTATTTGCACAAATTTAAGTTTGGTGACTGAGCTCCACAAATTGAAAGCCCTTTTTAGCTCACTGTCCACCACATTTCTATCCAGTGTGAGTGGGTATGTTATCACCTTGTAATAAATAGTTTTCGCAGACCATGTAGTTCCTACGATTTAAAACATGAAAAGTGCGAAAAGAGTTGAAGTTTTAAATAACTTTACAACAATTAATTTAAGAATTTCATACCTTGAAACATCCTTGCCATTTGAAAACTCCTCTTTGGCATCCTTTGTCTTTTTACATCTGAATTGCTACATCTAGGCCAATGCATCGCCTCTAGAGTATCTTTATCCAGTTTTCCTAAATAATTAAACTTTGAAGTGAAAATTGTTTAACAAAGTCAAATAAGTTTCTCTTTAAAAGAAATCATACCTGTAGGACTTGCACCGATAAAGTTCTGGAATTTAATTAGACCCTTACGAAAGTCATCTTCATTAACATCACTTTTACTTTTTAAAATGTAGCCATATTTTATCAGATAGTCCTACGATAGTAAAAATTTTTATAATTAATCTCTTCGCAAAATTAATTATAGTTAAATCCATTAGATTTCGTGGTCCGTTTGACCATTTCAATTAATTAATCTTTATGTAAGGCATTGGATGAGATAAAAAAGTCAGTGTCACAAGTGGGATTCGAACCCACGGCCTTCGGCTAAATACACCGCTGCTCTACCATTTGAGCTATCGTGACTTCGATCCACTCGGATACTAACTTCCCATCTGAAAAATGGCAAAAAGGAGGGAAAATTAGGTAGGGAAAGGTGGGTTGAGGTGGGAAGTTGGTGCCCGAGTAGATCGAAGTCATGATAGCTCAAATGGTAGAGCAGCGTTGTATTTAGCCGAAAGTCTTGGGTTCGAATCCCGCTCGTGACACTGACTTTTTTATCTCAACCAACACCTTACACAAAGATTAATTAATTGAAATTAATTATAGTGTGATCGTCTATTTTATACACTGAGAGGCAAAAAGTGGCCACCTTTAATATTTTCAATAATCTCTTAGACAATCCTCCCTTGATTATCTTGCAGCAATATTTGGTCCGTATTATTAGAGGTAAATAAAACTCAGATAAAATTTCCCATTTGTGTTTACAATTGGATTTTGTAAATAAATCTTTGAATAGTCAATTTCTTCTTTGTTGATTTTTTTTAAGTTGTACGTTTTTCAGTTTCAAATTTGTTTGGGTGTTGGTTTTAAGCGATTTGGCTAGAATCGTACCATTGCTGGACGATGGAAGAAGTCAAGCGTATGTAGCCACTGTGCTAAGCATTCCCAGAACAATTGTTCGAAGGGTCTTCCATCGCTAACAAACCCCCTAACCATCCCTAACCAAGATACTGGAGGTTACTAAAGAAGGCATAGATTAGGTCGCCACGGTGTCAAAACTCAGAAGGAGGATTTCGGGTTCGAATGCTGGGCCGCTGGATTCGAACCCGGGCCCTTTACCTTACAGTGATGAACGCCATGTCCACGCCTAAATCGTTGCGGCCTCCCCCTCGATCGTTTTATTGTTTTTAATATACTTCGTAATCGACATTTTATCGCTGTTGAGATCAAGCAATTCAACCAATTAGAAATGTTAATGTCAGTTTACTCATTGTAAGGAGAAGACTTTCAGAAGGACGAGAATGCCTGCCACTGATCTAGAACTTCTAACAAGGCAACAGAACAGCTCGGTTAAGTTTTGAAAGAAATCACATCAATTGGTCTGAGCAAGATTGGAATAAAATTTTGTTTTTGAATGATTCAAGGTTTTGTTTAAGGCTGACGGCCGACAGAGGGTTTGGAGAAGGACAAGTGTCCTGTGATGCCAGAGAATTTGCAGGAATTAATGGCTGGAGGAGTATGAAAATATTCCAAAGCACTACCCTCAAAACCTCATAATATGCCAACTCGAATGCAAACGGTGATCAACGCAAAAGAAGGAAATACTCCATACTGAATTGAATATTTTCTTCGTAGTTTCCTAACAATATTTTTGGTAAAATTGTTTTACTCAGTTTAATTTTTTTTTATTTGTCTAGATAATTATATTTTTATTTTAAAATATTCAGTACACAAAAAAAAAATTGAAACGATTGCAAGTATTTACTAAACAAACGAGGGTAGCCACTTTTTCTGCCTCTCAGGGTATAACTGTGAACTCTCGACAATATTTTGAATTATAACTTATTTTGAGAGAAAGATGAAATTTATAAATATAAAATTCCTTTTGTTTTTTTATTACTTTTTAAAAGGATAGTTCCTACTCGCAGTAAGTTGTTTTGCAACGATCCGGATTTCGAGCCTTTTAGCTCATCATCAGATTGTAGAAGTCCTTCAACCTGATGATGAGCTAAAAAGCTCGAAATCCGGATCGTTGCAAAACAACTTACTGTGAGTAGGAACTAGCCTTTTAAAAAGTATTGAATACCACACTCACTCCATCATTTATCATTTCTATTTGTTTTTGTTTTTTGTGTGTTTTTTTGCATTTGTACATAATCGACTGCCGGACCTGTATAAAATATCACTGCTGACTCACAATTGAAAACTCTTTTTGTAAAACAGGGGCTGTTAATCCGGATGAAATCTCTTGTAAAATGAAAACAGTTAGACTCAGCTTTGCACATCCACTAAGCAGCATCGTTTTTACAATTGTATCAGTTATCAAATTACTCCTGTAATTTGAACAATACAATACTGGATTGTGTCTGTGTATCAATCCTGAAAAGAAATTAGGTTGAATCTTTTATCTTAAGTTGTCAATTTTTACTATAGATTTGATTCAGACAAAAATCTTCAAAAGCACACATAATATTTTGGTTCATTATTTTATTCGTTTATTCATTGAATCCAACGGTTAAACATTTTTTGGCGTAAAAAGTATATTATATTATATATTTATGTACTATTTATATTTATCTATTATATATATTATATTATGTATTTTATTATATATTTATATACACAGGTTGATAGCCTAAAACACATAGCATACAGATAAACTATTTATATATATACAAAAGTAATATGACATAGTCATGATAGTTTTAGTGTTATAATATGATATTATATATAAAGAGAGCAAATTAATTTACAATATTACTTTAAAAAATTTAATGTTTTCTACATTTTTAACTTATTTTTATTTATTTATTTTTTAACTGTTTTTAATCTGCAAGACTAGTATTAAATAAATCTATATTAATGAATTTCCTGTTCGCTTCATTAATGGGAGATTGGAACTGGTGTTTAGTGTAGAAGTGAGGGGCATTGAATAATGATAAATTACGAATTTGGTATTTAGGGACATTGAACTTTACATAGGAAAGTAGCCCAGGGCTTGACATAAAGTTATGTAATAAATTGTGGAGAAAAACACGGTCAAACCTAGTTCTTCTTGCCTCTAGAGTATTAATGTTCAGAAAGGACATTATGAGATCATAATCGCAATTAAATTGTGGTTCAAAAACCAGTTACAGTAGCTAAGAAAGCATCAGCAGTTTCGGTACTGTTCATTTGAGCAGAGAAGTGAAGAGACCAGACAATAGATGAAAATTCAATTGATCGAACAAAAAAGGTAAAGAGTAGTTACAATATTCCTATATTTTTTAAAAATGTTGAATAGTGAATTAATAAACCCAAGTGTTTTTAGAGCTTTAGTCATATATTGTTTGTATTACATAATATATTGTAATTATATAATATTATATTGTTATGTTCATTCATCTTCGAAGATTTTATTATATTAAATAAATTGTGAAACATACTTAGTAATAATTAAAATAGTTTAAAATAAAACCGGGTCACACCAGATTTTACAAAATATAAGCCCCCTGAAAACGACGTTTACCATTTTTAACGCGATGTGTAAAGCTGTATTATGCTACAAATTATGCTATTATGCTACATGGAGCTTTCAATCTTTCGAGATAATGGAAAAAGTGCAAAGAAGTTTTATTAGAAAGTTTTGTCTATTCCAACTCTAAATTACGCACTCAATCTAGAAAACTACTGTATCACTTTTCATGTATACATTGCGACTCCATTTTGAAAATGTACAAGCCCAAAACATGGGCAATCAAATTCATTAGGGAAGTAGACTTTGGTTTTTCAAGCACAAATACATGCCTACAATGCGTGTACCCTAGAAAATCTTAAAATAGATCAAACACTTCCAAAAATCCCCATAAGATCATATAGCCTGGGAGCTATTAAAGTTAGCATATAAAAAATCACATCAAAACTCGAATGCATCTAAAATATGCAACCCTGGGGAAACTCGACAACTTGTTATCTTGGGTGCCAGGTCACAAGGGAATTTGGGTAACGAAAAAACAGACACACTGGCTAGAGGAACATCTGCATAACCATATTTATAGCCCTCAACCTAATCTTGGGATAGCAAAAACAAAATCCCCCATCTGACAATGGATTCCAAAAAGACAAAAGAAGTGGATAAACTCTAGGGGCGCTAGACAAAGTAAACTTATGTTAAAACAACCCCCACCATGACTGGCAAACTGACTGCAATTGGAAAGGGCCAAACTTGGAGGGGTGATAGGATTATTTACCCGTCACCGGCATCGGTGAAAACATATACACACCATGGGCATATTCAGTGATGATCCCTTTTGTAGATTAAGCAATGAGGAGGAAGCAACAGCCACCCACATCATCTTCGAATGCGAAGCAACCCGCGCAATGGAGATATAACTTGGATGCAAAGAAAACCCTGGGAATGGAATTGCAGAAGGGGCAGCCATTGACCCAATACTTCTTATAAGAAGGATCGATTCGATTGTATTGAACTAGGGAACTAAGAAGGGTACAACAAACCTGGGCAGCGCAAACCAACTTTCTAATATCCATCAGTATCATCTGTAATCAATCAATGGAAAGCCAAGAAGGAAAACTTTCTAGCACTACGGCGGCTGAGGTAGTAAAGCAAAATATCATGCTTTGCCAACTGGCATGCTCTTTTCCGGAAACCTGACTTAATTTATCCTCATGGAGAACATAGTTATAAACGTATCCTCTTGGATGGAAGTCATTTATTTGTCCTTTAAAAATTACATTGCCCACCAACGGGAGAATTGTTTAGAAAAATGCCCGCTTCAGCGAATACTTTAAGAATCTTGGAAAAAGTGACTTAGATTCAACACGGTATTTTTTAACTTATAGAAATGTAGCTATGAAGGTCTCAACCTGACAGAACCCCGTTGGTTTTTTTAAAATTCGACATGAGGTGAGACATTTGGACGTAGGAAAATTCCAGGAGGAAGTATAATCTTTGCTGTTGAGCAAGTACTTCATTCGTGGCCGAATATTAAGTAAAGTACGCTTTTTCATATTTTGGCGCTGTTGATTTGGAATGAGAAAAATCTCTTCAAATCTTCAATGGATTAGATAACCATATCCGGATACGGTATGCCCGGTATGGTTTTGAGATATAGGTGCGATTTCACATGTTAATATTACTTCATACTTTTTTTAGCTGGTCCTCGATTTATCATTTTTACGTAAAATGTGGCTGAAATGTAAAATCAGTGTTACGAGCGGGACTCGAACCCACGGCCTGCTCGATACACCGGTGCTCTAACCACTTGAGTCGTTATTTCGTTCCCCCGGGACTCATCTCAACAATTTTCACCTAAATTTTAGTTTAATATTTTCATAAGTTACGTAAGGATTCCCTAGATTTTTATCTATTTTTTACATTCTACAATATCAGTTATTATAAAGACGAGTAATTTATTTTGCCAACAACCTCCGACAGATGGCTTTTCGATCCGTGAAGTAATGCTTTTCTCAATTATCTGTTTGTTAATTATGTAATTTAAGTATAGAAGTATCTATCTATGTAACAATTAAAAACAACTCTAAATTTATGATAGAACTAGTAAAACATTACACAAACAAAATATCTAGTGTACGAAAGAATACTTACTTCAATATCTTTGTCTTCGCGTCTAAAGCTTTAATGAACTGAACGACTCTCTTCTAATAGTATTGGAGAGAAGTGAACTGTGTAATTCCATTAGGAACGTCAAGCATTATGAATGAACTTTTTATGATCCCGCGTAAATTGAATATTAAACCTTATAACGTCAAAAGAAGGGAGTCTTTAGCCCTCAATAAAAATAAGTTGTCAAAGAGTTAACCGTATCTTATTATATAAAGCGACGATAATTTTATGTAATAATTTTATAGTGAAATGATAGATTAAAGATGTAATGTTATGGACAATTACAGTAGCAATTCGTTATCACTACATTCATTATATATGTTTACATTTTAAAAATAGTTGGTACAATGTGACTTTATCATTATCAAATTGTATAACTTCGTGATTTTTAAAATATTTCTAAAAAAGCAGTTTTGAAGAAAACTACTTTAAAAAAAAGTTTAGATTTAATTCAGAAAAAATTCGAAGCTCATTTCAATCATAATCTAATAATTTGCCAAAGTAATCTTAAATAGTTAAGTGCTAAAAATGGCTATCAAATAATCCAATAAAACTTCACTACACTTCAATATCTATTTATACATCTTTGTAAGTCATGCATTTTCTCGTCTAATCAAGGATTTATACTATAAAAATTTCATTTTTTTTAAAACGTCTCAGAACTAAACAGTATTTTTTTAAGAATACAATATTTTCTATTATAAATTATATATGTACTAACATTTCTAACGTAGAAATAAAATAATTCTTGTACTACGTAAAGATTTAATTTTTGTAAGTGTTGTAAGTATTTATCATTATTACAAGGTCTGCAAAGAGAACTAGATTGTGGAAGAAATCAGCATAAAATATCATGACAAATTTAACGAGACACGTGTAATTTGTTAGGCATGAGCGATGTTACGCTGTATTTAAAAGAACGTCCTCCAGCTTATACACATCTCTACGCTTTAATTTTTACTCCCTGCTTAACCAGTAGTATTAAAATACCCTCTCACTGAACCAATACATGTTAAAATATAATTAAAATAAAATGACATGGTGAAGGAAAGTATGGATCGCTTTCGGAGAAAGGAAATAGACAAAACTTCTCGGTTATCCGATGAGGCGCTGCCTTGTCAGAAAATAATGTGTCACGATTACAGTCATCGTTCAATCGATGATCATTAATATTTATGTTGGACAAATGCTATTGCAAAGTAGGATACATAAATAGCTTCGATACGGAGGAGCATTGGTGGTCTCACAGATAATTTTTGACAGTAGTGACTGATTTTTTTTTGGAATTGGAGCTTATGATCGAACCCCACAGTTCTATTACGCTTTGCCAGTTCAACGTACTGTCTTATAAATTACAGTTTGTTCGTTAGTGAAAGTTTAGATTGTTTGTCTAGCATGTGTATAAGAATTTTGTATCGTTTGTTAAATGTCTTTGTTTCAAGTCCAGTGAGGGGGTTCCATGTCAGTCTTTTATGGAGAAATATGCCGAAATATTTAGTTGTAATATGTTGCTGAAGTGGAATGTTCGATTAACTTTTATTCTCCTTTTTTTTGGTCTACTGATGGATATCGTTCTGATGAGGTTGGATGTTGGAGGCAGTTATGGTTGGATTTTGAAGCAAGGAAAGAAGGAAAAGTAGTACTGTCTCGTTTAGATGGGCTTGGATCTTGTAGGCGGCTATGTTTGGCGGAATATATATATATATATATATATATATTATGCTGGGTGGGCGACCAAGACCCGAGGGGTTAAATGCCCGGGTAGACTCGTACCCCATCCCTAAAAGGTCCGGGACGTGGTCGGCTCACCTGTCCTGCATAAAGCTCTTGGACCTGTTCACAAACCCCAAGATTTTGGACCATTCAATCCCGGAAGTGATTTGGAGATGTCCTTTCCTTCAAAGATTTCATATTTAGACCTAGCATACATATCACACTCTGCGAGGTAGTGCCTTGCCGTTTCTTCTTTTATTTCGCAGAAGCGGCAAAAGGGATCTGGTAGGATATCCATTACGAAGAGGTGTCTTCTCAGTGGGCAGTGGCCCGTCAGAATACCTATCAGCCTCTTAATTCCCTTCTTTGAGATAGAGAATACCCATTTCGATTCTGCTGGTTTTATCGCCTTAACAAACTCTTTCGATTGCCTGTGTCCGGGGGATAAATTCCACTTCCTAAGGAATTGTTTCATACCCCAGGCGGAATATAATAAGGAATTGTTAAGATTTGGAGGGATATCGGTAGTGAATATTGTATATACAAAAGCACCTATGATGGTTTCTTGCTGTACTCCAACACATAACAATCTGGTGCGTAACCATCTGAACTGCGGGGGCAGCGTATTTTCGTTCCGAGTTCAAGCCTAGCTCAAGCTTCAAGCCCAAGGACTCCGCACTGGCTTAGTGGTGAGACCCCTGGCGGGTACCTAGAGAAGAGGCTGTGTTTCATTCCTGGCCGTGGACCGTAGTACTTGCGTATGACCTCCGAATTACGTCCCGACCTCGTGGGAATCGAAAGAATCGGATTTCCGAGAGCGTGCAGCCAGCGAGGAGCTATGACTACGCTGACGTCCCTCGAATTTATGAGAAATGGTGGACGGGGGCGGATGCTTGTCGATGGCGGCCGTCTGGGCTGCCTTTACCGTAGGCATGGTCTCCTCTAGGGGTTAGAGATTCCACTAAAACCGAAACAGCGGCCAGGGAGCGCATCCGGAGGTTTCGATGCTAGCAGAACCCGTACAACGAGGGGGATAGAGTTGTCTCTATCTAGAGAGTGCGTGGGAGACTTGGCCTATGCATTTCAACCACTTTATGGGTATCCGTTTACCGCGGCACTGTTTAAGTGCACAACATTAACCACCCCCTCGGAAGGGGCAAGCGGGAGAAGTCAGCATGTCTGTCGATTAGTCTGTGGATTTGCGGGCTTCTACACCGAACCTCACGGAAGAAGCAGATTCTCCGTGCGCGGAGGTGAGTCACTCCTAACTTGAGAATCTAAACGTGTGATTAGACCTGACGGTGCGCACTCTAAAGAACCTCAATGTTACATGACATTGCGGTGGTACTCCAACCCCGAAAAGGAACAAAGAGGAAAGATCTGCATCTTATCTGACTTGGTAATACGTACAATGTATGATCTTAGGATCAGGTAATAGGCTGAGGGAGAAGAAATTTGGAGAGAAACCCCATGTACCAAACTAAGAAGGTTTGCCAAAAGTCAAGGTACCAGGGTAATACTGATCTCGCTCAAGGCCGGAATCTGTCATCTCGTCTACAACTGGATGCTCGGGTGTGAACGAAAGCCAAATTGGTGGTTTGGTATTGTGTTTTGGAAGTTCAGGAAGCGATAGATACGTCTGATAAGAATTATAATAGACGTCTGATAATAGAGGGCTGACCCCAGACTGCCAACGTCACAAGTAGCACATATCAAGGTTTGCCTATACTTGATTATATACTTATAAATATATTTTTACATTGTTTTATTATATAGTTAAGTTTGTTTGAATGTGAACTATAAACATGTAACACAAATTAAATGACAGCAATAACTTATAAAATGGTTGCGCCTTTTTCTCAGCTATTTTTACTTAATTGTTGTACCAGAAGGTATGATTTGAACAAGAAAAAGTGTAATAGTGTTTGTCCATGATTTGAAAAAAAAGAAAGTACATACTATTAAAATATTGATTCAAACGGGAAAAAATTTGGAATCAAAAGTAAGTACTAATTTTGTAGTGAAAAACTCGGCACATTGATCAGACTATAATTATCGATTATTGTTCAATGCCCGTCTTTGTCTACGTACTTCGACGGCTTGGAGCTTTCCCATGGCGACATTTTTTACACATTAATCTTTTTATGTAAGGTATTGGTTGAAATGAGAAAGTTAGTGTCACGAGCGACATTCGAACCCACGACCTTCGGCTAAATACGCTACTGCTCTACCATTTGAGCTATCGGGACTTCGACCACTTGGACACCAACTTCCCACTTCAACCTACCTTTCGAATTTTCCCTCCTTTTTGCCATTTTTCAACCAATACATTACATAAAAAGATTAATTAATTGAAAGAAGTTATATTTGGTCAATCGGACAACGAAATATAATGGATTTTTTACAAAGTTCATAGCAATGTTACATGATTTATAACATGCATGTATAAAACGTCTGTCTCCTGTATTGCAAGGTTTAAAACAAAACACAATATCCTGTTAAGTTTAATATAATGTGAATAAAGTTGAACACGATCCGGCAAATAGTTTCGACCTTTAGCATTTCTCCCTAATGTCGGTTAACTCTCGCCCTTCGGCCCAGTGAATTTCTCTTGGATTTGCATAATACATTCCGTTCCTTCAAATCGATAGTTCAACTCTCTTGTTTATTTACCGTGATGCGGTTTCAATAGACGATTGAACGGAATGAAATTTGAACTTTGCATACTTCAAAATTTTCTAATGAAATGTCCAGCATCAAACCTTGTGTTTGGAGCCCAGCTTCCTGTTGTATTGGAACGATCTTACACGAATTTCTATATGTGCAACTTACAATTAGTTGCATTACCTCAGTTCAAGCGTCATATTAATCGTCCAGGAGAGTCCTTTGTTCTCATATTCTGCGTTTCTTGAATACCTAATGCTTAATAATGCGGTGCCAAGGTTGAGATGTGCATGATTAACTCTGCCGTTGAAAATTGAAAATATTTATTTATTTTTTTTTATAATGATTATCAACGTCGTTGTTTTTTGCCGTACTTACTTAATTTAAGAAAATTCTGTGAAATTAAGCACGCCAAGAATGGCGGAAAGCTAGCATGATGAGCTTGAATGATATAGTTGAAAATAAAATCAACCTAATTGTTTTATGGAAATAATAATCCTTCTCTATACATAAAACTTTACGTGATGTTGATTATTAATTACTGGTTTAAACAGGGTGTACGGCTACTCGTGTTACAAACTTTGCCGGTGATTCTACATTCAAAATAGAACCAAAAAGTCCTTATTAACTATGCTCCGAATTTCAGCAGTTTCGGAGTTATT